CCACTCGAGCCCCTCAACCCCCACATATGGCCAGCACAACGGTCCATAGTACAAGTGAAGTGACCCCCCAAGAGGTCCGCTTGACATATTTTGCTGCGAAATGCAGTTCATTTGCATGAGCAAAACGTTCAGACAGACGCTTTTGTGCTGTATTGCTTGAGTATGCGTATGGTTCGCCCTGAGAAACTGCCATGTTTGCCTAGTTGCCGAGCGAGCCGAACTTCTTAGCGTCAGATCGAGTGTGGCCGCCAGGACAGTTCCCGGGGCTGAAGATCGACCCACTAGGCGCCTTGTAGGTGAGTGTTTGGCCGTGGCTTTCCCCTGCAAGGAGTTCGAGGACTCCTTGCAGTGTCCTGTTCCGGAAAGTGATGATGAGCGCGACGAGGAGGCTGAGGCCTTTATAGTTCTCTGAGAGGTGAATCCTATTGACTTAAAGGGTCTGTTAATGGAGTTACCGTACGGTTAAGGGCTCAATGGTGGACACATGGCGGTTCGTGCTCACACTGCGTTCACACATTTAATAATGAATTCGCGCACAAGTTTGCAATTCATATTAAATTGTGTTCTCTTCGTACATCCACAAGCTCAGGGGTGAACACTACAAGGGCAAGATAGGTGGTACGTACGTTCTCTTCGTACATGCACAAGCTCAGGGGTGAACACTACAAGGGCAAGATAGGTGGTACGTGAACTCTATTAGAAAGGACTCAAGAACTATATGATAGGGTCTTTTCCTGGATGTGAATTTCGTTCATGAATTCACGCTTCACTTCGTTCATTGTAATTCATTCTCTAATTCACATCTTAATAATACTACAACTACTGCCTCATGATGGGTTAACCTTTACCACAGGCCTGTTCATGAAGGGGTTTATGGTGTACTTCGTTCCCTTGTTCATTGCTCTCTCTCTCTCTCTCTCTCTCTTTCTCTCTCTCTCTCTCTCTCTCTCTCTCTCTCTCTCTCTCTCTTATCTTTCTCTTTCTTATCTTTCTCTCTATCTATCTCTCTCTCTCTCTCTCTTATCTTTCTCTTTCTTATCTTTCTCTCTATCTATCTCTCTCTCTCTCTCTCTCTTTCTCTTATCTTTCTCTCTGCAGGGAGACAAGGGAAGACAAAAGGAGACAAGATGCCCAAGAAGCCGGGAAAATTTCTCTCTCTTTTCTCTTCTCTCTCTCTGTTCTCTCTCTTCTGTCTCTCTCTCTCTCTCTCTCTCTCTCTCTCTCTCTCTTTCTTGTGTGTTTGTTTTCTCTCTCTCTCTCTCTCTCTCTCTCTCTCTCTCTCTCTCTCTCTCTCTTTCTCTCCCTCTTTCCCTCCTCCTATATCAGCTGTTTCGGCAAGGAAGCGCGGGCGTTGAGAAGTAAGCCTCGGGGTCCTGGAAAAATTGTTTCATCAAATAAGCGTGGCTGCCCCTGCTTCTGCTATTTCAGGAAAGTAGGTGTTGGTGTCGTTTTTCCTCTTTCAGCAGTTAAGCGTCGGGGTCCCTGTTTCTGTTGTTTCAACAAATAAGTGTCAAACAACATAAATTAGTTAACTTCGAACATTCCCCAGCCTACAGGTTTGGATTCTGTGGGCCATCCTACTCTGGGGCAGGGATCGTCTGGAAGCACTCTGGGCTTGGGCAATTCTAAGACGAGAGCCGGTTGGGATACCTCAAGTTTGGTGGCCACCAAGGCGGCCACCCACATGCAGGAGACACAGGGAGACAAAGGGGGCCAAGAAACCCAGGAACCCGGCAAAGCCCACCCACATGAAGGGAGACAAAAGGAGACAAGACGCCCAGGAACCCGGCAAAGGCCACCCACATGCAGGGAGACAAGGGAAGACAAAAGGAGACAAGATGCCCAAGAAGCCGGGAAAGGCCACTCACTTGCTGAAACAGCAAAAAAAGGGTCCCCGACGCATACTTGCTGAAGCAGCAGAAACAGGGTCACTGATGCGGTTATGGGCTCAGTGTTTAGAGAGCTTGTACGGCTGAGGGGTGCTTTGGCTACGACCCGATCGCCGACCGCCTGCGGGTTCGGGTCTTGTGCCTCGGCAAATCCCGTAGGTCTCCTTTGCGTGACCCAAACAGCCATAAGCTTGGGGATGCGGATCAAAAAAAAAATTATTTAGGATCAAGATCCGCCTATAAATAAATCATTTTTTGATCCCAAATAAATGTTTTTTGATCCCCTACCCCTCAGGTTGGAAAAGAAGGGGTGGCACGGCGCGCGTGTTGAGCGCGCCGTGTCAGCCCTGCTGACACGCCGCAGGCTGCGGCAGGCGCACGGGCTAAGGGGATCCTAAGGTCTACACAGGCACGGAGACACGGACACACAGTCACACACAGTCACGCACAGTCACACACACCGACACACAGTCCCACATGGACAGGCAGTCACACACAGACACGAGCGCACAGACTCACAGAGACCCACACGCACATACGCTATGCGCGCAGACACACACGCAAAGACACAGACAGACAGAGACAGAGAGACAGAGAGACAGAGAGACAGAGAGAAAGAGAGACAGACAGACAAGAAGAGAGACAGAGAGACAGAGAGAAAGAGAGACAGGGAGACAGAGAGACAGAGAGACAGAGAGAGAGAGAGAGAGAGAGAGAGAGAGAGACAGGTCTACAGAGAGACAGACCGACAGACAGACAGACAGACACACGCACACACAGACATACATTATGAAACGAGCCCAGCAAAACAACATAATATGAGACTGCGTGCGCAAGGCTACACATTGCTTTACATTTAGCCTGAAAGTACACCAACAATAGCGCTGTACCCCTCACTCGTAACAATGACAGAGCTTTTGACAAATTTGTTAACCACTACACCAATTTATTAGCCTAGCAGCCATCTACGCATATCTAGCAGTCGTCATGCATGATTCAGCACGGACAAAATGTTCAGAACTCGATCCACCTAGCCATTAATAATAATCCAACGGTTAGCCCCGTTTTTTCAGCCACGCAAGCTTGTTTCAAAGCATATGTTGTTTTTGAAACCCATCATGCGAGCATTGTGTTTACAAATAAGAGGGGAGGCTGCGCTCCCCTCCCCACCGTTTCCTCCCAACCCGCACCTTTTTCTTAGCCACGCAAGCTTGCTTCAAAGCATATGAGTCTTTTTTGAAACCCACCATGCCGGCATGGTGTTTGCAAATATGGGGGGGGTGGGGGTGGGGGCTGCAACCCCCCAGCCCCCCTGCTTGTGAAGCCTTGGGCCCTGAATCCCGAAAACTACGCTTGATTAGGTTAGTTAGTTAACGCATTTAACAATTTCCCTAGCCAAGTACATGAAAAATGTATGTATGTTACTTACCTTGTGAAAGTAGTTGAATTAATTACACCCGTTTATCATATGAAGCACAGCAGAGGCAAACTATGCGAGATACCAGGATTTGCTTGTCGGGGGCGAGATGGTTGACGTCCAAACACAACATAGTCATAGTACAGAAAGCATAAGCAAAACAACTCCGAATTCAGGTTTTGCTTATCCGTGGGAAGATGTTTGACATCCCAACACACTATCTTAGAGAAAACATAAGCTAAGTAACTCCTGTTCTGGTTTTGGTTTATCGGGGGAGATGGGTGCGATACACACATGAGATTTCGGATTTTGCTTCTTGGGAGATAGGATGTAGCTGAACTGGTGTTCTGGAATATCAGATTTTCAAAAACACGTGAGTAGTGTAACAATATGTAGAAATGACATGCTTCGCGATTCAATATCGATAGGTTTTGTTGAAACACCATGATTCCTAAATTTGTTACATGTGTGGTTAGAACCCTCTTTCCCCCCCTCCCAATTTTGAAGATTTTGAGAAAGTAGCCACGAACCTCCAAGAAAGCCACAGCGAAGGCTCAAAATGGCTCGACACGAGCCCCAGCGCACCCACGACGTCGAATCCGAGTTCGGAGTCCACTCTGGTGATCAGCTGCATCGTGGCCTGCCCTTACAGAGAAGTGTCCTGAGGTTCTGGTTCCGACTCAGGCTTTATGGAGGCACAAGCAGCTCAGGGGGGTTGGCTGGGTTGTTGCGCCTTGGCCTGGTGCCTCGTAGGACTGCGGTGAATGCGTCATGTCCGTCGCGTCTTCACATTGCCGTGCATTGGCGTTTTCTGCTGACTTTGTTTGTAGAGGCGCCCGATGAGACCTGAGCAGCACAGAGTACCCAGGTGACCAATGTACAGGTCATGAAAGTGCTGCGGCAGCCGAAGTACCTGGCAGGGCCGGGAAGAGCTAAAGGATTAGGGACGTCGCGGCTAAAGGTTTTGTAGGGGCGTTTGACTTCTCTGGGCTTGGAAAGGCTTTAACCGAGATGGTTTTTAATTCTGATTTCTGGGAGATCAGGGTTTTCGGGGTTTCCCAATTCAGAAGTTTAGGGGCTTCGGGCGTGAGGATCATCTGGGCAAGCGGCAACCCTCAAAGCCACATCCTGAGCGTCTTGAGTGGGACGAAATGGAGCGTAGGGTCTCAGGTCTGTTTGTGAATCCTCAATATTGCTCAAATTCTGAAGGGGCGCCCCATGTCCCTGACATATATGACTCGGGCACAGTTCTTCCGCTCAAAGCCAGCACTGTGTGAGATGCACCCAAGTTGATCTCCCAATTCCTGCAGCCCAAACCGTAAACCCTAAACCCCAAACCCTAAACCCTGAACCTTCTTTGGAATCGCTTGAACCGCCGCAGGCGGACATCACTACTGCCCTAACCAGCACCGCTTCCAGTGTTGCCGGTGCGAATGACAGCAACATCGACATCCGTTTGCACTTTCGCTTCGGGGGCTTACTTCTTTCGTTCCCCTAAACCCTAAGCCCTGAACCCTACGCCCTGAACCCGGAACCCTAAATATCCCTTCTTCTTACGGTTCTGTTCTCCCCTCCACCCAACCTGAATAACCCAAAAGAAACCATAAAACCTTAACATCTTTACAGTCCCTAAAGTCCCTACAGTCCTTGAAGCACCTGAACTAAAACCTGAAGCCGAGGACGTTGCCCTCTTCATGCCGGGTCGCGCCTTTGCGCCGGGTGGAGACATCTTCAACAACCTGCAGGTTCGTTGAGGGGTTTACGGGTTTAAGGGTTTTAGGGTTTTAGGGTTTTAGGGTTTTAGGGTTTTAGGGCTTTAGGGTTTTTAGGGTTTTTAGGGTTTTTAGGGTTTTTAGGGTTTTTAGGGTTTTAGGGTCATGCTTCAAGGATTGAGCGTTCCGGGGGCTTAGGTTAGGTGATAAGGGCTTTTGGAGGGTGCACGTGGAGCTTTCGGGGTTGAAGGTTTGGACTGGACAATGTGCAGTAGGACTGACGTACCAGGTTGAGGCATAGTAGCCCTAAACCCGAAACCTTAAACCCTTAAACCGCATCGTTACCACACTATGAGAGTAGGACGTGGTCCATTCACGGAGTTGAGAGCGTGAAGACCGACCCAGCGCCCTCAAGGAGGAGATCACTCCCCCAATCTTCCTCACTAAGAAGTTCCAGCACGCCTGCGTCCTAAACCCTAAACCCTAAACCCTAAAGCCCTAAGCCCTAAACCCTAAACCCACGACTCGGACCCGTGGGCTTGGGGGCGTCTTGGGGGGGATCGTCGCTTCTGGATGTGACGTGGTCTCTAGCTGTTTGGGGTCTTCGCCGGGCATCACGCTTTGATTTAGGGATACTTGGGAATAAATGTTGTATTTCTGTGCACCAAAAATCCAACGAAACAGCTAAAATCATGATTTTTGCTCGGGTTCCAAGTTCAGTATGGTTGAGAGCACGCCAAGTTGCATGTAGAGCCAAGTGCACCACGATGCTGCTCGGCTCTGAGGCGACGCCAAAGGTCTCATACTCCATGACCTCGCTGCATTGCGCAACAGGGTTTATTTCAGGGTTTAGGATTTAAGGTTTAGGGTTTCAGGGTTTAAGGGTTTTAGGGTTCAGGGGTCTAGGGTTTAGGGTTTAGGGTTCAAAGGTGTAGAGTTAAGGGGCCATCCTCGGACCGCCAGGTCTCCATCACCATCCGCCAGGCAACCTTCCAGATTCTCGGCCAGCAGGCACCGAAATCAGCCTGTCTAGACTAGGATGCCCAGTAGTGCCCTTATTCCCCTTTTGGGGGCTCTGGGTTCCCCTATAAACCCCTTTAAGCAGAAAAGGGCACCCTTTTTAATCCTAGGTTACTGGGCAACCGAGTAGATATAGGGGTTTACGAAGATAACTTGGTAGCCCGGTGGTACCCTTTACCCTTTTTTTCGGTTATGGGCTCCCGTTTAAAATACCCAACCCAAAACAGGGTGCCCTTATTCTAATATGGTTACTGGGCTACCAAGATAAGGGGACCCCAATATGGACCCCCAAGTAGTAGGATCCCCTCCCGGGAGTCGGGTCTACATGTTCAGGGGAGCCTGCTACTTGGGGGGGCAAAACTTTCATGTGTGCGGTGCAGGAACGCCATGAGCTTGCACCAATGATGAACCCGTTGAAGTCTTGCACACTTGAGCTTTCCTTCGAGTTCCGCAAGCAGGGTCCTAAATGCATGCGAAGAGGAGAAGAGATTGGCAAGTCCGAAGGGCCAAACGAAGCATCGTGCTGCCCAACACCAATCCCCGAAGCCCGAACCCGAAACCCTTTTCCATCAATTCCATGAATTACCCAACAAGGGGGACATACCCCAAACCAGACCCTGGACCCTAAACCCCAAGCCCCCCCCCCCCTTCCCCCTAAACCCTCAAAAAATCCTAAAACCCTAAAACCCTAAAACCCTAAAACCCTAAAACCCTAAAACCCAAAACCCTAAAACCCTAAAACCCTAAAACCCTAAAACCCTAAAACCCTAAAACCCTAAACCCTAAACCATTTTGCCAAGGATGTATGGCAGCCTCCAGGTCTCCCACGCGCGAGGCTTTCTAGAACCCGCGAACTTCGGCTGCAGGGGCTTTGGGTGACTCTTGGGGGTTTCAGGATTTAGGGTTGAGGGTTTAGGGTTTACGGTTGAGGGTTTCTTTTGGAGTTTAGGGTTTAGGGTTTAGGGATTTTGGGGGTTCAGGGTTTAGGGTTTCTTCTTGGGTTTAGGGTTTAGGGTTTCTTTTCGGGTTTGGGGTTTAGGGTTTATGGTTTTTTTTTGGGAGTTCAAGGTTTTTAGGGTGTAGGGCTTCTTTTGGGGTTCAGGGTTGAGGGGCAACCTTGAGCCCCAAGCCAACAAGTAGAACTCCAGACCCCAAAGCCCTCAGCCAGCGGCCCCGAAGCGGTGAACCGTCAACCCCAAACCCAAACTACCTTCAGTGCCTCGGGCGCCAGCCCTGAAACTGGATCAACCCTAAACCCTAAAACCCCTAAGGTTCCTAGACCCTTAAAGGGCCCAATTATTAGGCCCCTGAAAGTACAAGGTTATATACACTATGCAAGAATCAAGGAGCCCAGCCTTCGCAACAACATCTTTGGACCCCTCAAGGGGCCCAGCCTTCACAACAGCATCTACATCTTCTTGACCCCTTTTGAGAGGCTCTTTCAGAGGCAAGGCTTGTGCAGTTCAAAGGGTTCACATGCTCAATTTACTGAAGCCTCCCTGCCTCTCCAGGACACCCTTGCAAAGAGAAGCCGAATGATTCAGAAGCCCCCTGGATCAGGCAAGCCGCTCATACCAAATCCCGAGAAACCCCTGAGCAAAACAACAAAAGGCCTAAACCCCAAAACCCCAAAGCAACCCCAAACCCCACAAAACCTAAACCCCAAACCCTAAACCCTCCGCATTCTAGGAAAGCTCAAATCCGAGGATCCTCCAAGGCTTCTCATCGCGCCTTCCCCGGCAAGAGACGGGAAAAGTGGGCTTTGGGGCTTACCTGGAGGTTCACCATATTGGGATCTTTCAAGGAGATTGTCAGTGGGTGTTATGACTAGAGTTACACTTGCAATTGGGTTGGAAGTACCCATGAACCTCCAAGTAGGGTTCAGGGTTTAGGGCTTGGGGTTGGACTGTTTCAGGGGTTGGGGTTTTGGGGGGTTGGGCTCAGCGCTGTGTGGTTTAGGGTGCTGAATGGCCACCAGAAAAAGAAGAGTTGAGAGGAGTTGCACCCTAAACCCTAAACCCTAAACCCTAAACCCTAAACCCTAAACCCTAAACCCCTTTAACAAAGTGCCCAGGTGGAAGGCATGCCCCTGCCGCCTGTCCCTGCAACATGCCCTAGACTGGGTCTTGGAGTACTCTACTTTAATATTTTTTTTGGTTCTGGGTTCCTATTATAGCTACTTATACCCAAAACGTATATACTTTTTTTCCAGGGTCTACTCCAAAAGCTAAGTAAACCCTTTTCGAACCCTAGCAACCAGAAACCAAGTCGTGAGGGGAGGGGCAATGAAGGAGCCTAGCATCTCGCAGGAATATTGGGCTTGTCAGGTTTTGTTTTTTTTGTTTTAAAGCCCCAAGTCCAACCATCAGGTGTGCACGCAAACCCTCAACCCTCCACCCGAAAGCCCGACCTCCAAACCCGAAGTCTTCTTCTGCGTCTGGGGGGGTGCCCAGGGGTTTAGGGTTTAGGGTTTGCGGTTTAGGATTTAGGGTGCTTACCCAGCCACCAGTGAGGGCTCCATTCATCGATCAAGTCGTGGTCCCCAACAAGACGAACACCCTGGCAAACTTTTTCCTGAAGTACAATCCGTTGGAGGCCAGGGGGGGCCTAAACAGGTTTGGGGGGAAGGGGGGTTCCCGGCCAGACGGAGGATTCTTGGATTGAGCCTTGTGGGTGATTTGGGGCTTTCATTGAGAAGTGCCCTCAACCCTACACCCTGAACCCTAAACCCTAAACCATTCAGGGGCAGGTTGGCAGGTTTGCGTATTGGCAAAGGTGAGGCCTGAATTTAGAGCAGCTTGCCTTTGGGCCACGTGAAAAGCGTGCTACAGCGAGCCAAGAAGCCGAAACCTCAGAAAGCTTATGCCCGAACCTAGGACCCAGAGCAGGCCTCCTTTTTCCCGCAGTTTAGGGTTGAGGTTCCCTTAGAAGCCCCCCTTTGAACCAAAAAGACCACACCCTTTGTATTCCTAGGTTACTCTTGGGTCCCTAAACCCCAAACCCTAAAACCCTAAAACCCTAAAACCCTAAAACCCTAAAACCCTAAAACCCTAAAACCCTAAAACCCTAAAACCCTAAAACCCTAAAAACCTAAAACCCTAAAACCCTAAAACCCTAAAACCCTAAAACCCTAAAACCCTAAAACCCTAAAACCCTAAAACCCTAAAACCCTAAAACCCTAAAACCCTAAAACCCTAAACCCTAAAACCCTAAAACCCCTAAACCCCTAAAAAACCCGCCCTAAACCCCCCCTCCCCCCCCCCAAGCCCCCCATTTTAGCCTCAACCGCCCTGAAGCCCCCAACCCCGCTTCCAGGGCAGTGCAGCCCAGCTCACGGGCTTCGATGCCTTCGAGGCACCAAAGCCTGGCCAGACGGCAGAGCAGGTGGGGCTTCTCAAAAGGGCGCGTAGAGGGTGTAGGGTTTAGGGCTTAGGGGGGTCTGAGGGGTCTGAGGGGGCTTGAGGGGTTTAGGGTTTAGGGTTTAGGGATATTCGATGGGTTTAGGGCGGCGTTGCTCGTTGCTGAGGCTTCCGTGCTGGCACATGCCATGTTCACTCCGAAGCCGAGTGCTGTTTTCTACGAATTGTTTGAGAACCCCGAAAAAATAGAAAACATGTTTCCTTATTAAGGGTAATATAGGGATTATCATCGTTTATTCTTTTGGGGTTCTTAAGCAAATAGTAGTTTTGTTGGGGCGGGGAGCTCAGGGTCTTTAGGGCTTTCGGAGTTTTTTTTTTTTTTTTTTTTTTTTTGGGGGGGGGGGGGGTGCGTTAGGGCTTTCAGATTTTGTTTACGGCTTTTAGTGTTTTTTTGGGGTGCTTAGGGCGTTTTAGGGTTTAGGGTTTACTTTGCAGGGGTTGAGGGTTTAGGGCAGATTGTGAGACAACGCCCAGGTCGTTCCCGCCTTGATGCCTCCCGGCAAGAAAAGGTTTAGGGTTTAGGGGTTAGGGTTTAGGGTTTAGGGTTTAGGGTTTAGGGTTTAGGGTTTAGGGTTTAGGGTTTAGGGTTTAGGGTTTAGGGTTTAGGGTTTAGGGTTTAGGGTTTAGGGTTTAGGCTGTTTTCGGGGTTTCGTGCTTTGCGGAACCCATGCCTCGGGCAACTTTCCATTACCGAGAAGCTCTGAACCCCAAACCGTAACAACAGTTCAGGCTGCTTGCTTGCTTGGTTGGGGCCCCGAAACCCAAAAGCTCATCGGGGCCCCCAAAAACGACGTTAAAGTGCGCACCCACCTCCAATCAGCTTTCACTACACGCAACCCAGCCTCCCCTGCCCCAAGTTTGAGGTATGATTTCGGGTCCCACGTGTGCCCACACGTGACCATGGGCGGCTCCTTGCATGGACTTCACTCTTACGGTTTATTTCTGGGGGTCTCATGCTGAACTCCTAAGCTAGGATGCCCAGTAGTACCCTTATTCCCTTTTTGGGGGCTCTAGGTTCCCCTATAAACTCCTTCTAGCAAACAAGGGCACCCTTTTTAATCCTAAGTTACTGGGCAACCGAGTAAAGGACTTCTGATGAATTGGCATTGCAGCTCCATGCAGCGAGAGAAATCCGGCCCTTGTGGTCTGGGGCCTCGAAGGGAAAGGTCGCAGAGGATTTGCATGCCCTTTGCACTTGCCACGGCTCGTTTTGTTTCGGGCTGTTCTACAGTGGATCGGTTCGGGACGGTAGGCGAAGTGCTGTCAAATATTGCAGCAAGCGGATCGAAGCAAGAGCATTCCTGGACAGAAGAGCCCTGAACCGTGAATTGCCGAAGGCCAGGACCCCTAGACCCACCACGAACGCAGGCAACTCCCCCCTGCTGTGGTTTACGTTTGCTGTTAGGGCTTAAGTCGGTTTAAGGCCTTCAGGGCTGAAGGGTTCACTGTGGAACCACGTATCGCCTCAGGCTCGTGGCGTGTCACGGCCAATTATGCCAGCACCGTCAGCCAGGAAGCAGTCATCTGCCTGCGCCGTCTCTGAAGCCTTTCCCCCGATCCCAACACCACAAGAGCTGGTTTGGGGTGCACCTGGGGCAGGTTTCTGCTTCTACTGAGGGGTAGTTCTCGCCCAGCTGTAAATATAGTTGCAGGTACAGATTAAGGGTATCTATGGAGTTCAGGATTCGGGATGCGGGATTCCTGAAAAGCCGAGTTTGGGGCGCCAGGTGAGCCTTGTAAGCTGAAGGCTTGCGGGTTTAGGGTTTAGGGTTTAGGGTTTAGGGTTTAGGGTTTAGGGTTTAGGGTTTAGGGTTTAGAACCCCGATCTGCGCTCTGCAGGAAAAGCTGGAAGTCGAGCGGGCGACCTCTGATGCCATGATGAAGGCCGACTCAGGGGGTTTAGGGCTTAGGGTTTAAGGTTTCGGGTTTAGGGTTTCGGGTTTAGGGCTTAGGGTTTAGGGGGTTTACGGGGTTGCTTTGGGGGAGGGAGGGCTTTTGGGTTCAGGCGTCTACTGGTTAAAGATCTCGGGGGGCGCCGCGTCAGGCCGTGTAATGTCTGGAGTTTGAGATTTGGGGTTTGACAAAAAGGGTAGACCGGGCTTCAGATTCTGAGGGTTTACGATTTTAGGGCTTCGGGGCCAGCAGGCTGGAAGCAATCAAGAAGCCATTCTTGGCTCTGGGTTCTTCGGGTTAGTATTTTGTCTGATCTAGCAATTCTATACTAAACCCTAAACCCTAAACCCTAAACCCTAAGCCCTAAACCCTAAACCCTAAACCCTAAATTGGTCGAATCATGGAAGGGAGCTGACCCGACTCAGACCCTCAGGTGAAAAAGCAGCATCCGCGAATCCGGAGATTCATAGAGCAGGTGTTACAGGGGCCCGGCACAGCTCAACAACCCAAAGGCTAACCCCTATTCGCAACGCTACAGGGTGGTCAGAACGGACTCCGAGGGAAGGTGAGGAAGATAGAGGTTGTAGGATGAGGGTAAAGGAATGTGCTGTGAGAAGACACCCCCTTCGCTCACAGGTCCTATGTACCCAGTGCCATTTGGCAACTCCATTGCCCTCTTCACATAAAGGCCTACAGCCCGGAAAGCATCCACTTCATTGTATCGAAAATGAATGTATACATTTTACACGTTAAAAATAAATGTATATATGTATATATATATATAGCTATTTATTTATGTATTTATTGAGGTATATTTTGCGTAATTATGTATTTATGTATTTTTGTATTTATGCATTTATGCATTTATGCACTTATGTATCTATGCATTATGTATTTATGTATTTTGCATTTTTGTATTTATGCATTTATGTTTTTATTATGTATTTATGTCTTTATGCCTTTAAGTATTTATGTATTTATGTATTTCTGTATATCATGTATTTATGCATTTATGTATTTATGTAGTTATGTAGTTATGTATTTATGTATTTATGTATTTATGTATTTATGTATTTATGTATTTATGTATTTATGTATTTATGTATTTATGTATTTATGTATTTATGTATTTATGTATTTATGTATGTATGTATGTATGTATGTATGTATGTATGTATGTATTTATGTATTTATGTATTTATGCATGTATGCATTTATGTATTTATGTTTTTTATGTAATTATGTATTTATTTGTTATATTTATTTGTTTATTCTATATTTGTTTATACTTACATCACTTTCATTTTTTATTTATATTTAGACTCATATTTATATTTGTACTTATATTCATATTTATATTTATAATTTGTATTTATAGAACTGTATTTCTTTTTTACTTATATACCGATTACATATTACACATTACATATTTCATACTGCATATTACACATGACACATTACACATTACATATTTCATACTGCATATTACACATTACATATCACACAGTACATATACATATACATATTTTAGCCATATGCGGACACACTCCTCTGCCCTGAACATCCCAAATCCCACATCAGAACTGGCGAAGGCTCGTGCAGAGGCTTGGGGAGCCAATATCAACGGTGCGGCCAGCAAAAACGGTGGCTGGGACTTCGGGAATCGTCCGCTGGGGCGTTTACAGTAGGGTTTAGGGCCAAAGGTTGGGATGTGAGGAGCGTTGCATTGAGGAGGGTTTTGTGGGGTTTTCTTCTTTGTTTCCGGGGGGGGGGGGGGGGGGGGGCGAGCCTGGGCGCTCGCCTTCAAGGGTCTTACATAAATTGACTATTACTTGAATAATAGTCTATGAAAATTTCATAATCAATTACAGAAATACATATATATATATATATACATATATATATATATATCTTTGTCTCTCTCTCTCTCTCTCTCTCTCTCCTCTCTCTCTTAGGGGAGCCCCTTGAGATTTAATTTCTATGCGTTGTGGGTCCAAATCCCAAAGCTTTGAAGAGACCCGCCCCTCGAAAACTCCCTCAGAGCAGATGCACCTGCCGTCCATCAATCCCGAAACTCCAAACTCCTGAAGCACCTCGAGCACCTCCAACACGTCTGTTTGCTTAAGAACCCCCTCAAGAAATGCAAGACAACTTAACACTTTAGGGTTTAGGGTTTAGGGTTTAGGGTTTAGGGTTTAGGGTTTAGGGTTTAGGGTTTAGGGTTTAGGGTTCTATATTACCCTTATAAGGATGAATCTTGTTATCTTAAGTAATTCGTAGAACACGGTGCGGTGGAACGTGGACGGGTTACGTGGGGGGGGGTCAGGTGCGGCAGGAGGAGTTGCCGGTGGAACTTCGCATTCTTCAGGCGAGACCTTGCAGTTTAGGGTTTAGGGTTTAGGGTTTAGGGTTTAGGGGTTAGGGTTTAGGAGAATTGTGGAGGTGGAGTTGGTTTTGGGCTCGAGGGAGCTCACGGCACGAGGGCGAACAGCAGAGTTTAGGGGGATCCAAAGGTCTGATTTGCCTTTGGGGGCTCAGTGGGCCCGTGCCTTTCCCTGAACCCTAAACCCTAAACCCTAAACCCTAAACCCTAAACCCTAAACCCTAAACCCTAAACCCTAAACCCTAAACCCTAAACCCTAAACCCTAAACCCTAAACCGTGGCCAGAGCATTCTGCAGGCAATCAGAAAAACTCCGGCGATTCATCGGGCAGCAAGTTTCTTGGCTGTTAAAATTTTAAACCCCCAAAAAGGCCCCTTAAAGCGCGAAACCCTGACCCTAAACCCTAAAGCCCCTACGCAGACTCGCGCTCGGCCTAATGCCACAAGACCCTTCGCCGCGCTGCTTCGAAACAGTTTGCCTTCGATGTGCTTTTTCGCTCGGCTTGAATTCGGCAGCTTCGGGTGAGATGTTGGGCCTCCAGCTGTCTTGGGGTCAAGTGAGCAACCGCTTTTATTTACGCACGAGCAGAGTTACTTTGGATGTGCCCTATTTTTTGGTTGGGGTGTCGCTCTCTCTCGGTAACGAGATCGGGGCCGAACATCAAACGAGATCATGTTGTAGAATGAAGGATTTATACTTGTACTTGTTTACTTGCATTTACTGCATACATAATCCTTATCTGTACCTATATTATATATATATATATATATATATGTTTTACTAAGCCTTTGTTTAGTTATATATACATAGACACCATGTATATAGTTGTGTGAAGGCGTTCGCTAAACGATGAAGAGTTGGTTTCGCGTAGGCTATTGCTGGCAAAAGCTGCTCGCTGGGAACGGCGGCTGTGCTTTGAACCGCTTAGACTCAGAAGCCTTTGAGGCTCAACCGCTTCGGCCCAAGTTGGGGATTGAGGGGATGTGGGGTCTGGCGGTGGAGATTGCTGCCGATCCCAAACGTGATCCAAACGTGATCAAAAAATTGCACGAAGGCAGCTAGGGAAGCCAGAGGGCCATGAGAGGCGCAATCACAAGGATTAGGGTTTAGGAGTTATTGAGACAGGGCTGGAAGGTTTAGGGCCAGTTTTGGAGTGAAGTGTCTCCTGTTCAGTTGCTTTCCACGGAGGCAACAAGCGTACTGGGGCACGTCTTCGCAACAACTTGAGCCCTGCTCCCTAAACCCTAACCGTAAACGGGTGGAAATGACAGAGTTGTTCAGAGAAGCACTATGGGTTACCGGGCGAAGGTTAAGGGCAACTATACCACTCACTACACTCCAAGTACTATTTAATACTGAACGAGATCACCCCTTAAGACGACATTGGCCCGGAAGAGGTGTTTTAAGGCAAACGAGATCAGGGACCGAACATTAAAATAGGCTCATTGCGCCCGCCAGCAAATAAAATCCGACGCTCAAGTAGGTTTCTTGCGCTTCGGCTCGGGTTTCGGGTTTCCCTAAACCCTAAACCCTAAACCCTAAACCCTAAACCCTTGGGCCATTTGTGGTCTTGGGGGCGTCAAGCCTGCCTCAAAGGGATGTGCAGCTGGTGGCCATGAAGAATGCCACAATGCAGCTCGAGCCGCCTCGGGGACAATCTCTGGGGCTGGTAAGGCTTTCGGGGTTTAGGGTTTAGGGTTTAAGGTTTAGGGTTTAGGGTTTGGGGTTTAGGGTTTAGGGTTTAGGGTTTAGGGTTTAGGGCTTGCGGTTATTCATTCCTTTATTTTCTACCAACCAACACCAAGTAGGGGGCTTAGAGGGCTTTTGGAGGCTTGAACGCACCCAGCCCATGAAGTCTCTAATTTCTTCTCCTGCGGCTTCTGTGACACTTATGTCCGAAGCAATGAACAACCCCAACGTTCTCTAAACCGCGGTTTAGGGTTTAGGGTTCAGGATTTAGGGTTTAGGGTTTAGGCTAGTTAGGGTTACTAAACGTACCCCTGAGCCCAGTACGAGCCTGTCATCAGCTTCTGTTTGACTACCCAACACCCTTGTTTAGCAGGCATCCCTTCACCGTTCCGAGCCTTTAACCTACTTCAAAGAGTTGGTTAGTAGGGAATGAGGGAATGACGTACCCTATAGAATCCCTTAAAGGGTATATAGGCAGAATAGACGTTACCCTATAGAATCCCTTAAAGTGTATATATATATATAGGGATAGACGGTACCTCCTTCCCTCATTTTCCCTACGAACCAACAGCAAGTCAAAGGACCGTGGAGCAAACCTGGAAGGGAGGAGCGCCAGGTGCTTTGGCTTGGGCTTTACTAACCCTAAACCCTAAACCCTAAACCCTAAACCGCTCATGGTTCACGGTACTTACGAACCAATTGTAACTGTACTTATAACCCGCTTTTAAGCCCCTGACGTGCCCTAACATGGTTACAAGTACGGTTATAAGTACTTGTGAATAAGTACCACGAACCTCCAAGTAGGGTCAGTGCGTCCTTGGGTTCGGGAGGGGGCTTCCCGAAGACATTCCTGCCGAGTACCTTCCCCAAGCAGTGGGAATCGTGGACGCCCTAAAACCTGAACCCCCCCCCCCCTAAACCCTGAACCCCTGAACCCTAAGCCCCGGAATCCCAAACTTTAAACCCCTAAATGACCCTCCGCTGAGCCCTTGTCTCAGGGGTCAGCGCGGCCGACTGGCGACGGAGCCTCGATTCTTCGATGAGCTCAAACTGGAAGGTGGGGTTTAATCGGGTTTAGGGTTTAGGGTTTAGGGTTTAGGGTGAGAAGTTGAGGGGTATTTTCGGGTTTGTAGGGCTTTGTAGGGTTTCTAGGGTGTACAGGGTTTATCGGGTTTGTTGGGCGTAGTGGGTTTATGGGGTTTATGGGGGTTTGGGGTTCAGGGTTTGTAGGGTTTAGGGTTTGTAGGGTTTATCTAGGGTTTGTAGGGTTTATAGAGGGTTCGCAGGGTTCATAGGGTTCCTATGGTTCATAGGGTTCATAGGGTTTAGGGTTTTGGGGTTCAGGGTTTAGCCTTGGGGTTTAGGTCTGTTGAGCAGAGTTTAAACTACAAAAAGCAAACCTGACAGGAGCCACAGACCCGAATGCATGCGCGTGTCACCAACTTCGGCCAGAAAGAGACGACGTGAAGACACGACAGAAGGAGACGACACGAGGACACGACGCGAGGACACGAAACGATGAGACGACACGAAGACGAAGGCACGAAGCAAAGACACGACACAAGAACACGACACGAAGACACGACACGAGGACACGACACGAGCACGACTCGAAGACGCGACACGAGGACACGACACGAAGAGGAAGACGCGAGGACACGACACGAAGACATGACACGAAGACACGCCACGAGGGCACGACACGCAGACACGACACGAAGAGGAAGACGCGAGGACACGACACGAAGACATGACACGAAGACACGAACGAGGACACGACACGCGCACACGACACAAGGACACGATAAGAGGACACGACACCAGGACACGGCACGAGGACACGAGACGAAGACGAAGACACGAGGGCGTGACACAAAGACATGACGCGAACACACGACACGAGGACAAGACACGAGGTTACCACACCAGGACACGACACGAAAACGAGACACGAGGACACGACACGAAGACATGACACGAAGACATGAGTGGATGAGATTATCATGCACCGCGTGAAACAACGTTATCAACCCCCCCCCCCCCCACCAAAACGTGGGCACAAGTGACCCGATAACGTGGGCACAAGTGACCCGGAGCACGTGGTAGACTTATAACTGAGTGCCAGGTGATTCAGCGTGACCTCACCCGCTGTATCGGCCTCTGGAGCTTCATGGATGACCCGTTCTTAGCGGATGCAATGTGCTCGCTCTGGGTGCAGCCTCTCCGAATGCGTTTCAGGTTCAGGGGGCAAAACCTGCGGGGCCCTAGATCCCTCCCAGAAAGCTGCACCCTAAGACCCTAGCGCCCTAAACAATCCAACGCCCCATGAAACACCCAAAGCCCTGAATCCTGAACCACCAATCCGAAAAGGCCTTCAAGCCAGTCCAGGAGCTCATCCTTGGGAGGTTTATAGGCTTAGTCCGAGCTTCTGAACTATTTGATTAATGGGGTGATTGATGAGGAGGGGAGGGCAGGATCAACAAGCGGGGCAGTGCAGAATAAGAAGGCTGCACCACTAGGCAGCAGTATTTCGTCATAGTAGGAGGAGACCTTGTAAGGCTTGAACCCCAAAACCCTGGCAGCTTCTTGGATTTGTAGCCACAGCAGCCCACGCAGCATCCAGGTCCAGAAGAAACAGGAGAAGCCTTAAGGCCTGAACCCGAAAAGCCTTTGGGGATACCTCCGTCTGTCCGGCTGGATAGACGACTTCTGCGCATTTAGGTTTTTTTAACGCTAAAAAACCCTGAAAACCCTAAATGGGTGTTTTTAAGGTTAAAAAACCCTAAATACAGAAGCAAGGAATCCACAGTTCTCACATTGTTTCTCCAGGCTGCAGGCCTCAGGCTCCCAATTCATTTGGCCTCCAGGCTCTCTAGCAAAAGCTGTGTTGCTTTTTTGAAAATGTGTTTAGGGTTTAGGGTTTAGGGTTTAGGGTTTAGGGTTTTAGGGTTTAGGATTTTTTAGGGTTTAGGTTTAGGGCACAATAGGTAGGCAACACGATTTCACAAAGAACAGACGAAGGACACAGTACGTCGAGACATCAAGAGTGCGGCAATGAACCGCTCACCTCCCCTGCTTTCTTATTTAGCCCTTGCAAAGCTCGCTTTAAGGAACAACATGCCATCAAGAGCAGGTGCGTCAAAACCCAAATGCGGGTTTACGAAAAGAAGGCATCCCAAATATAGACCCCAAATAGTAGGATTCCCTTATGATAAGGACCCCAAGAAGGTACCCCTATTTTCGGAAACCCTAAACCTTAAACCCTAAACCCTAAACCCTAAACCCTAAACCCTAAACCCTAAACCCTAAACCCACCCTAAACCCCAAACCCCCAAATGATGAAGGCTTTGAGGGCTTGGGCTTCGGACGAAAGCTCATGAGCTCAGGCTTTTCATGGAGGCTCAGAACGTCACCGCCGGAAACAATTACACAAACGGCCGCGAGGTGCGGAGGGTGACTCAACAATTTAAGGTTTTGGGTTTAGGGTTTAGCTTTTGACTTAGGGTTTAGGGTTGCGGGTTTAGGGTTTCGGGTAAGGTTTAGGGATACTTCACACGTTGAAATTCCGGTTGTGGCAGCGGGGTCGGTGGTCGGTTCGCCTCAAGCCGCAATCCCCAAGCCCAAACCCCCTGCTAAAGAACAGAACCCCAACAGCCTCAAAACTTACGTAAGCTTGGTAGCCCAGTGGCACCCTTTACCCCTTTTTTGCGTTCTGGTTTCCCTTATACAACAGCCAACCCAAAAAGGGTGCCCTTATCCTAACATGGTTGCTGGGCTACCAAGTTAGCCTAAGCTGCTGAAACTCTAGCCGCCATGGCTTGCCCCAACTCGACACAAAAGCATCCGAAAGCCCCCAAAAACCTAAGGCCTCTTATACATCAAGTTAGGTTTCGTACCGAAGTAGTATCTTCATAGAACGCTTAGGGTTTGGGGAATTAAGGGGACGCTTTTTGTCTATTTGATGACCCCCAATTTGCCGCTGAGTGTACCGGACACGACCTTTCAACACCAAGGCCACAAACCCTTTCAGCCTTCAACCTTAGAGAACCTCAGGACCCTTAAACCCCAGAAGCCTTAAACCCCATGAACCCTATAAACCCTATAAACCCTAAAAATCCTATAAACCCTATAAACCCTATAAACCCTATAAACCCTATAAACCCTATAAACCCTATAAACCCTATAAACCCCAAAAAAACGATAAACCCAAGAAGCCCCAGAACCCTTAGATCCCCGAATCCGAACTTTTGTTGCCATTTGCCAACTGGAGGATGGCGTTCCCGGCCAGGCCGCTGGTTGAGGGGTTTTTCGGTTGCCCTTTTCAGCTTCTCATGGAACGGTATTGGGGTTTTAGGGTTTAAAGGGGCCTTAGGGGATAAGGCAGTGGTGGGTTTTGGATTTGGGCTGCCTCGAGCTCCAGGCTCATTTCCAGCAGCCAAACAGGCACCGATTTTGCGTTTGGGGGCTTGGGTCGCTGGAATTCGGGGCTTAGCTGGGGTTTAATGTTGGATCTCCGTTGTCTAGGAGGCTCCCTTTATGAAGTCATCTTTGAGCTCTCAGGTCTCGTAGGATTCCTCCGTGCGACCTTTCTCGCCCTCAACCACCCTAGGCCTTCAAGCCTCAGGCCAAAGTCCACCAAGGATTCTAGGTAGGCCCTAAACCCTAAACCCAAAACCCTAAACCCTAAACCCGAATTAAATTAAAACCTAAATGTTAAACCCTAAACCTTTACTGGCTTCAAGAGGATCGTATTCAGGAATACTGATCAGGGGGTTATTTAAGTTTAAGGGCCATCCTCGGATTTTTCGAGGGGTGCCTTGGAGCTTTCAGCTGAGGAGCGCGACGAGAAATTAGCCTGAAGCTTACTGTTGGTTAGCAGGGAATGGGGGGAATTTTGGCCCCTCATTCCCTACTAACCAACCGTAAGGAAGGCCCTAAGCACCAAACCCCTGCAGTCCGAAATCCCACTCGAAAGTTCACGCGTACTTGGGGTTTGGGGTTTAGGTGGGGGTTCAGGGTCTCTACTTGGAGGCTCATGGGTACTTTCCTATCACTATGACCATGTTAGCAGACCTGGGGGGCTTGTCAGTGGCTTAGAAGTACAGTGATCATGAGGGTTATTAGTACCCTGAACCTCCCCTAAACCTCCGAGCATTCAATCACGCTGCGAGAGGTTCCCCCCGAGATCATGAGAGCCGAGACTTGGCGGAGCTTAGGGTTTAGGGTTTATTGGGCGTCTTCTTTAAGCCTAATTCCTGAACCCCGAACCCTGAACCCTCGGTGTGGGGTTGATAGGTTTCGAGTCAGTCCTGTAATTACCTGTACTCACATTGATTTAGGGTGGGAAGAGTCGAAACCAGACGTTGTGTTTTGAAGTTGTTGTTCTGTCGGTGGTTAGGTGCGGGGTTGAGTGTGGGTTGTTGGATCTGCATGTTTTGTTTGGAAAGTCGGGGGTCTTCGGCCTGGTGAAGCAAAGCCTCTCAAGCCCCCACGAGGCGCCCAAGGCTGAACATGAACCCAAGGCCTGCTCCACCACGCAGAACATGCAGTACCTCATCGAGTGATCCGCCGAAAGGTTTTGGGCTAGATGGCTGAGATCACGAGGATCTGGAGTTGGGGTACAAGGGCTTACGTTCCAGGAAGGAATGTGGGATTAAGGTTTCGGACTTGGGTGTTTAGGAGTCGGTGCATGTGTGTGTGAGTGAGTGAGTGAGTGAGTGAGTGAGTGAGTGAGTGAGTGTGGGGTCAAGGGGCCTACCTGTCCGGCCTCGCAGGTACGCGCAGAACTCGTCTCAGTGGCAACAGCGCCTGGGCCAAACGCAGTCTGGAGACTACGGGTTTAGGGCTTAGGTACGATGAGTCTTTTGTTTATGAGTTTAAGGTTGGAGTTTTCGATTCTTTTTCGCTTCGGGACGGTCGCTGCGCCTTCAGCCCTAAACCCTCCATTCCACCCGAAACCTAGTACGTTGGCATGCAGACCTGTAGCCCTGAAGCCAAAACTCTGAAGCCCTAAAACTCTCCCAAGCCTTCAATCAAAATCCTGGCCCTAGAGCTATAAACCCCCGACTTCAAAAACCTGGGTGCACCCAGAACCTAAACTTGCACACAGCGGCACTTGGTCTCAGAGTTTAGGACTCTCTGCACATGTTCGGGCTGGGGCCTAGAGAAGCCCATTACCCTTCAGACGACAGGGGACTTCGGAATGCTTCTAGGGTTTTTTTGGGGTTTAGGGTTTAGGGCGTAGCTTGCTTTCGCTTTTTGCTGTTGAAAAAGTTTTTGGAAGGCTTCGGATGTGAGGTAGAGACAAAACGCCCAACCCGAGACCCTAAACCAGCTGTTTCTATGTGAGGATAGTTGAACACGACGCATGTGGTGGACGGTCTAACGTTGAAGCTCCCCAACAAGGGACCAGAATTCACTGAGCTGACCATATGTCTTCCGTTGGGTCGGTTTCGGGCTTGGGGTTTGGGGCCTTGTCGTGGCTTTGTTGAAAGGAAATACTAACCCCCAAGTTCTCTCCCAGGAAGCTCGCGGAGGATGCCTGCAAGGCACCGAGTTGCAGATTTGCCGGAGGGGGTGGGTGGTAGGTATCAACTCCCTTGCTGAGAGCATGGCACAATAATTGCCACGACATGACATGGCCTTCTTGCGCAGAAAGTGAGCGCGAACGAGGGAAACATATGCATCTACATGTGCATGTACCTATATATATATATACATATATATATACATACATACATACATACATACATACATACATACATACATACATACATACATACATACATGTCGGTATACCTTGCACATATTCATATGATTATAGAAGATGTTTGGCAAGGACCGTTTATACATGCTTTGACCTTCCGAGTCATGATACGTCTGCTACACAAGCTAAAGCGAAACCCAGCTGTGTCTCGAGGGGAGCGAATATATCTACCCTAAACCCTAAACCCTAAACCCTAAACACAGGACACCAAAAGCACTCAACCCTGCAGCCTGGGGTGGGCTCCCCAAGACCCAGTTGAAGTCCTTCCTGTGCCCTTCGAATGTCCCCCTAAACCCTGAACCCCTAAACCCCTAAACCCTGAGAGGATCAGCACCCCGGCCACCACTGGGCACCTCCCGACCAGCGCCCTTACTGCGGGCTTGGAGTTTGGGGTTTACGGTTTTGAGCTAGGGCAGCGAAGGACAGTTGCATTCAAGGAACATCCCGCATCTTACATCTAGGACACAGCGGATGTGTCTTCCTGGAGGAGAGCCAAGAGCTCCCAACATAGGGGCACCCTCTATGCTTGCCGCCCCCCCCCCACACATTCCCCCGTGGTGCGGTTGCGGGTTGGTTTTAGGGCTTAGGGTCTTGGGGTTTAGGGTTTTGGGGTTTAGGTTTAGTGTTTAGGGTTTAGGGTTTACGACGACGACTCACTCGACGACGACCACGGCGACGCTTTTTTTCTCTGTTGCTACCCAGGTGTTTGATGAATCAGTGCTTCTGCACTGTCGAAGGCCAGAGCCTCAAAGGCAACTGGGCGAAACCCTGAACCCTAAAGCCCTGAGCCCGGAACCCCTAAGAGTCTAAACTCAAGGCCACCTTGTTCTCCAGGTTTCTGGGTGCTCGTGGTCCGCTTTTGTTGGGCTTCGAAGTTGACTTGGCCTTTCCTTAGCGGATTAGGGAAAATTGGCCCCTCTGCAAATTTAGGAGCCTACCTAACACCCTAAATGCTAAGCCCTAAACCCTAAACCCTAAACCCTAAACTGGGCTGCATGCGCAGCAAGGGCTTGTATCGCTTAGATTTAGATGTCGATCCTGCGGGCAAGGGCGCAATTCTGAACTGTCAGAACTGGATCTCTTGCAAAATCAAGGGTCGGCCTGTTTGCCATCTTGAACGTCAGTCAAACCCCTCCCATTTTCTTGAGCGACTCAGTTCTGGACTCCCCCCCCCTCCACTTCCCGGAACTTTGGAGAATCCCTTCGACAAGCCCCTTCGAGGCACCAGCAGCAAGGATTGCCCTGAAAACGGCAAGACGGACTGCGCGGGCTGCTGCACATTGGAGCAGAGGGTGAATCTCGGGTGCTCTTGAGTTACTGCTGCACGCTGTCGATTGTTTACTGAACTTGAGGCAAAGTCTAGCAGAGGATGCATGCTGAGCCCGAGAATGGCGAGGTCCAGTGAAGTTCACAGAGCTTCAGAGCAGCTAAGGTTTTGCAATGCAAACGCGTGTGCGACGGGCTTTGTTCTAAAAGCAAATGCTGCAAAGTACCAATGCCAGCTGGCAACTTGCGAGCCCGCGAACGACAACAGCCAGTGCTGCATGCCTGCGGATGTTGCGAGGAACTTCCGCCTGACTTTCCAAGTCAGCCCGGAAGAACATTGCGGAACAGACTCGAACATACAGGCGCTGTTGAAATATCATGGCGGCGAGGGACCCACAGTGCTGCTGAGTTCGTCAGGGAACGACGCTAGGCCCTGACGTGCATCATTGTTTAATATTTTGGGAGGGAAGGGCAAAGAGGTCTTTGCGTCAGCACATGAGCAGAGGACTTCGAGGCGGGACAGCAAGAGACATTTTCCTACGCCTTCCCAGATGCAGAGCATCCCACTCAAATCTGCGTCTACAACGAAGGGGACGACGCTTGCCTTCGAAAGGTGCGAGGACTTTGCGTTCAGGGCCAAGCTCAGCCCAACAAGAGCCCAGTAGGCCCCAAAATCCCCAAGCTTAAATCGTAAACCCAAGGCCCAAAGTTTGGTCTAGGGTTTGGGGTTTAGGGTTTATGGTTTAGGGTTTACCGTTTGGACTCTGGGCACTGCGTGGCGCGAGTTTGTTTAGGAGTACAAAGGTCCCTGGAGTCCCTCAACCCGTCGACATCTGGAATCTTCCGAAATCAGGGTTTAGGGTTTAAGGTTTGGGGGCAACATATTGGGGGTCATTATATGAGGGATCCTACAATTTGGGGTCTATAGCAATTAGGGGTTCCCTACTTTTGTAAACCCCCATCAGTGGCGGTATCTTGCTCATTCTCACCGAACTCCACGTCAGCCCCTGGGTTTTTTCAGCGAGCTGTTATTGATTTGAGGTTTTCAGCCCTCGACCCTGAAATGGAACCCAAAAACCCCTAAAGCCCCCGAAGCCTCCAAAAACCCCCTAAAACTTACCCTTGAAAACCCTAAAACCCGTAAGACCTAATCCATCCTGAGCCGAATTCAGGATGAGCTGTGCCTCGACTGGGTGAAGATTGCGAACTCCGACTCTTGGCTGTGTAGGTTTTTTTTGGTTGGGGGGGGGGGGGGGGGGGCTTTCTGTAGGGTTTTTTGGCAGGCTTTTGGGAATATTACGGGCTTGGGGTTTAGTGAGTTGGAACTGCGCAACTTGCGCGCTCACACTATGTCAGCTGCGGTTTCCCGAGCCGTGCAGATTTCTGTCAGACCCCCCGCCCCTTTATATGAAGGAATGGCGAAGCCAGAATTCGTGCAAATGTTAGGATGTAATTACTGGCGCACGCTTGAGGACTTGAGGGAATATTTCGTTGTGAACGCTCGTCGGCCACTTCGGGCCAGCCAAACTCTTGGAAGTCTGTGACAGAGTTGTTCTGGCATCAAGGGATCTGGATCTTCGGAGGGGCCCCTAACTGGTCCTTGACGTTCCCCCTCTTTAAAGTTCGGGGTCCGAGGTATTCAGGGTCCCAGGTTGGTGTCCGGGGAAAGTCCCGAAGCTAGATCTTGCCCCGCAATGTCGTAGCCGTAGCGGTCGTGACGCCTTTGCAAGCTGGTAACACAGCCTCAGAGAAGCCATGGTGCCACATGCTCTTTTGTGTTTTCAGAACCCAGAGACGCGGCTGGCATGCATCAAAACAGGCAAGAAAGACTTGAAACCCTAGGCCCTAAACCCTAAATAGGCCCTAAACCCTAAACCCTAAACCCTAAACCCTAAAACACAGACTGAACTGCACCTCAAGGACGGCCCAACCCCCTTGCACTTGGGGATCACGAACAACTGGCCTCCGCTGAGCAAAGACGAGGCAGGGGGGCAGCCGGGGGTCATTACCTGATCTACTAGTTGCTTAAAACACCCCCCCCCCCAAAAAAAAAAAAATAGTAATAATAATCATCATCATCATAATACAAAAGAGGTAATAGTCCCTATATTTCGCTTGTAAGGAAGAAAAAACTGATTTTCCGGGTGGTTCTTACGAAAACAGCAGTTGTAGGACGGAGGTTGTGGCTTGATGGACTTGATTGCAGTTGGTTTTCGGGTGGGTGCAGAGACTTCGGCATGCACACCCACCCTAAACCCTAAACCCTGAACCCTAAACCCTAAACCCTAAACACCCACGATTGATGTGCTTGTTGGATGTAAGGGGAGGGCTGAAGTCCTTGGCATCACATACCAGGACGGGCTATCAGCCCCTATACTTCTTAAAAAAGGCCCTTTATAGGGTTGACTATGGGGATTGGGTTGACTATGGGGATTATAAGGCCTAATAGTCCATCCTGCAATCTTGAGATGTAGTGGTCCGCAGTCCACCAGTTAAACCAGTATCCTTGATGTCGTGTACAGCTGTCTTCAGAAAGAGGACGACCAGAAGGAGGACGGCGCCGTGTACGGCACATGCATCGACATCTCCTACGACTACGTGTGACGTTCAACTGTGCTTCTCTGTTGCATTTCATCTGAATTCAGAAACATTGCTTTCAGATTTTGGTCAACCATCGGCGATGGCCAGGGCCTGCCCATGAAGGTTTTAGGGCCTTTCTGGTTTAGTCAGCGCTGGGGCGAAACTTGCTCCAATTGCTCTGTGGACAAAGACGAAATCCACTGGCCTACGCATTGCAAGCTTTGTCATTGCCGAGGCAAAACAGTTCCGGACGTGCTTTCGCCAATGCTGCAATAGCCGCTGAGTAACTGTTGCTGCCTGTTGCGTCGATGAGTTTTGCTTGTCAGTTCATTGCTCTCGAAACACATGAACGGGTTCCTGTCTTTGGTGTCTGTAGGTCGGGGAGAAGGCTTCGAACGCTTTGATTTCTGAAGTCCGCTTGTGGTCTTGCCTATTGCATGTTTGTTTGTGCAGCATGCTGCAACGAGTGTGGGTTTAGGGTTTAGGGTTTAGGGCTCCATATCATGCTGGTTCGTGCACCACGCTGGCCATCAAACTCGCATCCCAAGACACCCAAAAAGTCGGTCGTGCACCACGCTGGCTATCAAACTCGCATCCCAAGACTGTAGCTTTGCCCGACTTAGCCACACTCAAAGGAGATTTGCGGCCCAAACCGAGTGTTCGATGGCTCGTGGAGATCTGCAGAAGCTGTCCGAACTGGTCAACAAGGTGGGGCCTTGTCACACAGAGACCGGTCCCGAGTTATGCAAGAGTATGTCATTATGTACACACTTCCGCGTACATGTAAATGCAATTTATTCTGATGTATGCACAGCTGGGGGGCTTGACTTCACCGCTAGACTTTAGAACTTCTGAGGGTCAGGGCGTAGGAGATCTGTGAACCTTCCTGCCAAGGAAACAAATCGGGAACCAAAAGGAAGCTCAGTTCAGGAATCTGCCAGGCATGACCCTTTCCCAATGGGCCTTGCAGGCCGTGAACGGCACTCCGGGCTGCATCAACCTTGTGGATGCTTGGTTGCATGAGGTGTCCGGCAAGGAGCTTCGGGCCTGCTATACGGCAGGTTACGATGAGTTCCGTGGGCTGTTTCATGATTCTAGCAGGATTCGAGACCAGCCCTCAAGTTTGGGCCCTTTTGTCACGCTGTCTGGCACTTGGTGTTACATGCCCGAAGGCGCCCAGGCCTCTGCACCAGCCACGTACTCTCCCTGTCTTATCCTCGTGCCTGACAACCTGACGTCCCAAACAACAGAGCTGCACTGAGGATGCCATCAATGCCGGGCAACCGGTGCATGAACTGGCGCAGGCCCTCGCGGTTGAGTTAGAAAGGTGCTTGAAAGACGAGACGACAAGAGGGCAAGCGGCAGGCTGTCAAGACTTGATCTCAAAATTGTAGAACTGAAAAAAGGATTGCTCTCAATGCGGATTCCCCTTTACAGATAGATGCATATTCTTTCAGAATCCATCCCCCCTAAGCTCCAAGAAAAAGAAGCCCACAACGACAAAGAAGCTACGGGTTTCAAGTTCAGGCTGTTTAGGGTAAAGCACTAAAATCCAACCGACTGTTCTGCTTCTTTTGGGTAGTGTCAGGAGTACAAGGTTTACGCTCTCTCGCTCTCTCTCTCTCTCTCTCTCTCTCTCTCTCTCTCTCTCTCTCTCTCTCTCTCTCTCTCTCTCTCTCTCTCTCTCTCTCTCTCTCGCTCTCGCTCTCTCCATTGAATTTCTTTGTTGGCACTTTGTCCCACGACACTTGGCATAAACTTGTCAGACTCTGTCTGAGTGAGAACGCCGTTAACTCCTACCTGAGGTGATGACGAAAAAGGCCATCAGCAAGATCGCTCGTGGCAAGCGCGCAAAGATGGTTGTCTTCAATGGGCGCAAGGAGAATCGGTTTCGACTCAGACTTTGGCTTCAATGTGTGTACGCGCAATTCTACAGTAAGCATCTGCAAAAGCCAGATTGTTTTCGAACCTTGGTATGTCTGACTCCAGGGTTCAGTTGTAAATGGGCCCTTTCATGTGGATTTATGCGCTCTAGCTACGTAGGGCTTTGTAGGCACCAGTCAAGAAGACGCATCTCATGAAGAACAAGCGCGGCAAGGCGGAACGGAGAGATGTTAGGGTGTTATAGGGCGCTGTTCACTGCTGTAGTATCGGGGCCTTGTTGGCAACTGCAGGTTTCTATAACACTGACACCGCACGAGTGATGAAACAACTGTGGCCAGAAGCTGTGTCCGACATTTTGACATTTCGTGGCGCCAAAAGACAAAACCGCCTTCGCTCCATCCTCGCCATACGCGCCCAGGCCCCCAGGCGCACTGTCGAAATTGAAACGCCTGGCCTGTTTGCCCTTGCGACCAGACGAGGATGGCTTTTGGGTTGCCCTTGCGACTCGACGAGGCTGGTAGAGGCACTGTTTGGAATGGTGGTGTTGGTCGCCATCCTGCTGGGGAAGTCTGGGCTGGCTGCACATCCCTGTTGCCTTCGACTTCTCCGTCGCATCTGGTCTCCAAGCTGGAGGGGGAGAGTTATGCATGTCTCATCCCGCATGGACAAAATTCAGCCGCAAAAGCACCTGCCAACTCCAAAGCATCTGCCCTCGCTGGATCCTGAAGCCCTCATCGCCCAAACGCCCTGAACCTGCCAAACCCAACGCCCGTTCGGACGGCGCTCAGTCTCCAAGCGCATTGCCCCAAAGCTTATGAAACACGAGATGTTGCTCTGGCTCCCCAGCTTGCCAAACCTGTACTGAGAGTCTTAGACAATCGGTCATGATCAAGCACCCTTACGCCTACTGCGCACATGCTGCTGTAGCAGGCCACTGGCCACCCGACAGCAGCCTCCTTCAAACACGTGAGCCCGGCGGGCGCGGCCAGTGGCTTGCCTTTGAGTGACGAGGAGCTTCAGCGATGGTCCGGAACGTGTTTCATGCAGCTTGAAGACACAACTTTCATGCCTCGGTGCCAGGAGAAGATTGTGCATGAGGCCAAGGACAAGGAGCTCACAGATGTCGCGGTGGCCGACGTCCCGCCCGGACCGGGGTCGGAAATGGGACAGTGGAACACCATGCAACACCTTTTTTTAATCCTTGTCACACCTCCTCCCATCTCCTCCCAAAGCCGAAGCCCTACACCGCCTACACCCGAGAGCCCTGAAAATTCGACTTTTCGAGGACCGCCGACCCTGTGTTTGGCGCCTTCGTTGCCAGATGGTATGAGGGGGAAAGCGGGGGCAGGGGTTTGGGCAGATGCTGCCGCGTAGGTGGCCTAGGCACATTCTGCACGTTTCTACTGGCCATGGACTCCAAGAAGCCTGCTATGCTGAGGTGCCTCTGCAGCTGCCGTTTGCCCCTTCTGCGGAGACCAGGCTTGGGGGGGTCATAGGGTTTTACACCCTGGACTCTAAACCCTAGAAGTCCTAAACTCTGAATCGTTAAGCCCCTTGCTTTTTTGGGAAATGCGTGTTTTCCTCGGAAAACACACGTTTTCGCAGGTTTCGGGTAGGGGGATTTTCGACATGAAACTTCGAAGTTCCGTGTTGAAGGTTTGGGCAGTGCGTTTTGCGGGCCAGGTTGGCGAGCATGAGCAAGCACAGCAGAGGAGAGGAAGGTCTAGTTCACTCGAGAAAAACCGAGGTTTTTTGAGTTTTCCACTTCAGGAGTGGTTGTTTCATTTGTGTGAACAGGAGTCCTGTACACTTGTGCTCTGTACTTCTTGCTCTGTGCCAGCGAAACGAAAAATTGTTGCACTCTGAGGGTCTTTGTGGCACGAGCACGTATCTAAGCCGCAAGAGGGCCCCGGAGGGAGGAGGGGCAGATCAGATGCCCTTTAATTTGCGGGAAGGGGCCCTATAAGCCCTACATCCTAGATTTGAACGCCTCCCGCTGTGGGGCGGGCCATCTACAAGGCGTTGGCTGCCGGGCGCAACCTTCAACCTTGGCCCCGCTTAAGAACCTGTAAACTCTATGAGAACACATACCCTAGACCCCCTAAGAACCCCAAAGCAACCCAAGCAAACCTTTGAAGAAAAAAACAAAGCCTGAACAAAAACCCAAGACCTCGAGACACAAAAACAGACCTCAACCCTCAAACCCTAAGCTACCGTACGCACACTCAGGGTGGACTTTTGCGGCCCACCCTGGCTCTACCGCCGTCCTCGGCAGCTTGGTGGCATGCGGGGTTCAGGGCTTGTCACCCAACCTGGACCAGTGCGCTTCATCGTTTGGAGAACGGCACAAGCGCCTAGCCCCTACGCTCATCTCTGTTAGGAAGGCCCCCCCTGCTTTCACATGTCCACCTCCCGAAAATGTAAAACGGAGGCCTTGGGAGGGGGGTCCCAACAAAACTACACGTTGCATCTTATTAACATACTACTATCTCGATTCTATCTTGCTCCGATGAGGAGAGGCCGCGTGCGTTTACCGAGTCCGTTGGAGTACACCCTCCCCTGTTGGACTTGAGGCTCTCTCTCTCTCTCTCTCTCTCTCTCTCTCTCTCTCTCTCTCTCTCTCTCTCTCTCTCTCTTTCTTGCTTTCTCTCTTTCTTTCAATTTCTTCTTTCTTGGGGCATGGGGGACAAGCCCCCCGGCGTCACTCTCTCTCTCTCTCTCTCTCTCTCTCTCTCTCTCTCTCTCTCTCTCTCTCTCTCTCTCTCTCTCCCTCTCTCTCTCTCTCTCTCTCTCTCTCTCTCTCTCTCTCTCTCTCTCTCTCTCTCTCTCTCTCTCTCTCTCTTCTCTCTCTCTCTCTCTCTCTCTCTCTCTCTCTCTCTCTCGCTCTCTCTCGTCTATGTCTTTGCCAGAATTGCACCAGACTCCGACCAGACCTTCTAGCACAGGACCTATGCGCTCGCATCCTTTAGTCACTTCGAAGTTGGCAAAAGGCTCGGTGAGATCTCCAGTATCCCCTTCAGGAATCCCAGGCAGCTGTTGACCCGACTCGATTGGGGCACACAGCGAAAATTTGGGAAACATGTGAAATGGAAGGGGGCAGGTCATGCTACTATTCATGACCAAGATTTCTCGGCGCCTCC